ATTTGCTGGGCAAGGTATTTGTGCGAAAGACCGAATAGAAATCAAATCTTCTACTGCTTTATCTAAACTATTGTGGCTTAAATGTTATTTCAGATGAGGAAGATGATGACGATGTCCAAGACAATGATCTTGAGGAAGACACGGTGTCTGTCTCTAAAGTACCTGACCAATACAATGAGGTGTATAGTAACATGCCTACATATACCCATATGCTAAAACCTGTCGCAAATTGCGAGCACTGCGATGCGAAAAGGTTTGAGCATGAACCACGTGGGTTCTGTTGTCACAGCGGAAAGATCGAGCTCAATGAACCGAATGTACCTGATGAGCTTATGAGGCTTTGGTCAAGTAACGACACAGATGCTAGGCACTTCCATAACAGCATTAGGTTTTTCAATGGTCATTTCTCTTTCACTTCTCTATATTGTCACCTCAATAGCGCTACTGCAAGCATGAAAAATAGTGGTATATACACCTTCCGTGAACACGGCCAGATCTATCACAACATAAGATCATTTGGTAGAGAAGATGGTAAGGAGCCAAGACATCTTGAACTTTACTTCTACGATGATGATCCAAGCCTTGAGCATCACTATCGACGATGTCGTGAAGAGAAGTGCCAAAAAGATAAGGAAGTTATTGAGAGGCTTGTGGCCATCCTTTGTGACAACCCATACAACATCTTAGGAGTGTGGGCTAGGCAGACCACTTCGAGGACTATCGTGTCACACTAAACCTTGACCAAGGCTAGACCAGAGAACATACAATGTGCCATCAATTTCAAAGGTGGCTGCTGTTTGGATCGAGGGAAGCGAACTCCTTGGTCAGTTCCAAAATAGTGTTGTCCTACATGGGAAGGATAGAAGCAGACACGACATTCGCTCGTATCATGGATGTTATGATGCTCTTTCATACCCTCTATTCTTCCCTAAGGATGAGCTTGGGTGGCACATGGATATTCCAAAGAAAGGAGTTAGTATGGAAGAAATCATAGAGTATCGTTCCCTACAAAAGGCTCATAGTGGGTCAGAAGAAGAAACAGGTTCATTATTCTTCTTATTTAAATACTTCGCATACATGTACCTCAGTGGTTATTCTACGAACTACTCTAATTCATGGCTATTTTTTGTAGACTCTCCTGGTAGACTATGCATGTCTGTGCGTGACTACTACTACTACAAGTTTCAGATGTGTCCAAGAATATTTAACCCCATACTATACGACAAGCGTCTGTTCCAGCAGTTTGCAGTTGACACGTACATCAAGATCGAGAGTTCTCGATTAGATTATATACACAACCATCAAGATGATATTAGGGCTGACCTCTACCAAGGATTGGTTGATAGCCTACATGTCGGTGAAGGTAGAGCAGAAGCTGTTGGAAAGCGGATAGTCATGCCTTCATTGTTTATTGGAGGCCCACGTGACATGAGGCGTCGGTACATGGACGCCATGGCTCTAGTACAGAGGTTTGGTAAACCGAACATCTTCATCACTATGACATGTAACCCGAACTGGGATGAGATCAAGCGTGAACTCTATCCTGGCTAGACACCACAGGATCGTCCAGATCTCATTGTTCGGGTCTTTAGAGCAAAACTACAAGAGCTAAAGGATAGGATACTAAAAAAGGATATTCTTGGAAAGGTGCGAGCGCATGTTTATATTGTGGAGTTCCAGAAAAGGGATCTACCACATGCACATTTTTTGCTAATCATGGATAGAAAGTACAAGATCATGTGCCTAGAGCAGTATGATCTCCTCATCTCAGCTGAGCTCCTGAACAAGAAGTACCCAGTCTTGTACAAGATGGTTACCAAACATATGATGCATGGCCCTTGCGGAGTGCTTAATCGTGATTATCCATGCACAAAGGGTCGTGATTCCTGCAAGAACCATTACCCTAGGCCTTTTTGCGACGTCACAGTACATGGCAAGGATTCATATCCAGTTTACAGACAACGCGAAGATGGTCGAAAAGAAAAATTCCATGGACACGAGCTTGACAACAGATGGGTCGTTCCTTACAACCCGTATCTCCTCCGTCTATTCAACTGTCACATCAATGTTGAGGCATGTGGGAGCATCAAGGTAATCAAGTATCTATTTAAGTACATTTACAAGGGTCATGACCGGGCATCTATGGTTGTGAGAGAGACTGACAAGGAGGATAGTGAAGGGAACGTTGATGAGATCAAGTAGTACAGAGATGCTAGATGGGTAACCCCCCAGAAGCCTTGTGGAGGATATACGGGTTTGATTTGAGTGATAGGTACCCTGCTGTTTTGTCCTTATAGCTACATCTTCTAGACATGCACATGGTGTCATTTCACCGACGCGAGGGGATTCAACAAGTGCTTGATAGTCTAGGTGCAGACAAGTCAATGCTTACAGCGTACTTCGAGAAGAGCAGGGCATATGAAACAACTCGAGGTATATTGTACCGGGACTTTCCTGAGTTCTATACGTGGCAAGCACAGGGCAAAGTTTAGCAAAATAGGGTACGCTATGATACATTATGACAGATTGGAAGAATCGTGTCTGCCAATCCAGCCGAGGGGGAGCGGTACTATCTTAGGGTTCTCCTGAACCATGTGGCAGGTGCAACCTCCTTTGAGTGTCTAAGGACCGTGGATGGCAAAATCCTAGCGACCTTCCGTGAAGCTACAGAAAGAAGGGGCCTAATCGAATAGGACAACACGCTAAACGAGAGTCTCGCTGAGGCAATAGATTGGATGATGCCATATGCACTACGAAGACTCTTTGCAACAATATTGGTATTTTGTGAGCCCAGCGATGTGTTTGGACTATGGGAGAAACACAAGGAGGCAATGTCAGAGGACTACAAGCGCAATAGTCAATCCACCTTCATGGTGGAGCAGATGGTCCTCATAGATATTCGAAAATTGCTACAATCAATGTAGAAGGATATAAAGATGTACCCACTTCCTGATATCGATGACATATATGACGCCTCTCGTGATATTCCCAGAGTTTTGAGGAGGCTAACATTGAGACTAACGAGGATGATATGGCTCTTTTAGACACCCTTAATGTGGAGCAGCGGGCTGCATACGATGAGATTATGTCCATGATTGATACCGAACATGGGGGTCTCTTCTTTGTGGATGGTCCTGGCGGACCGGAAAGACTTATCTATACAAAGCTCTTCTTGCTACTATACGTAGTCAGAAAAAGATTGATGTGGCAACAGCTACATCTAGTGTTGCGGCCTCAATAATGTCTGGTGGTAGAACCGCCCACTCGCGCTTCAAGATTCCCCTCACCATCGATGATGGGGCTTTTTATAGCTTCACGAAATAGAGTGGTACCGCCAAGCTACTTCGGACCGTATCCCTTATTATTTGGGACGAGATGACAATGATGAAGAGGCAAGGTGTTGAGGAGCTAGACAACAACCTTCGTGATATCATGGATTGTCCTAACCTGCCGTTTGGGGGAAGACTATGGTGTTTGGTGGAGATTTCAGACAGGTTCTCTCAGTTATTCGAAGAGGGTCAACGGCTCAGGTAGTCGGTGCCTCGCTGTAGATGTCGTACCTTTGGGGTTCCATGCGACATCTAAAATGGTGCACAACATGAGGGCAAAGAGTGACTCCTAGTTTGCAGAATACCTATTGTGTGTCGGCGGATGTTTTGAGGAGACGAATGGCGATGATGAAATCCATCATCCTCATGATATAAGCGTACCACACACCGAGGAAGATAGTGATCTTGATACGCTAATTGATGGCATATTCCCTAACCTCAATGCAAATATGTCAAGCAAAGATTATATCACCTCTCGAGCGTTATTATCTACGCGGAACGAGTGGGTTGATACGATTAATATGAAGATGATAGGTCGTTTCCACGGAAATGAGATGGTGTACCATAGCTTTGATTGTACGGTGAATGATCCGCACAACTACTATCCTGAGGAATTCCTTAACACTTTGACACCCAATGGTCTACCGCCACATGTGTTAAAGCTGAAGATTGGTTATCCGGTCATATTGCTTAGGGACATTGACATTGCTAACGGACTTTGTAATGGTACCAGGCTTATTATACGGGGGTTCTAAAAGAATACCATAGACGCAGAAATTATGTTGGGGCAGCATTGCTGGAAATCGAGTTTTTCTGCCTCGTATACCCTTGCCCGTCAGATGATGAGATGTTCCCTTTCTAATTTAAGCGAAAGCAATTTGCTATTAGGCTCAGCTTCGTAATGACCGTTAACAAGGCACAGGGGCAGACTATCTCTAACGTTGGGGTATACTTGCCGGAACCAATGTTCTCGCACGGCCAATTGTATGTAGCGCTATCAAGAGCCACGACAAGATCAAACATTAGGATCTTGGCCCTGCCGGCTACCGAGAAGGGCATGAACAAGGAGAAAGGAAAAGGAAAGGGGAAGAGGAAGAAAAAATTGGCAAAGGATATATTCACGAAGAATATCGTATATAAAGGGGTAATATCTCACGCGTCGATACACATTTTTTCAAGATAATCAACAACACTTTAACTTTAAAAATAACAAACAACTTATATGCAGGATACTTTCAACTATAGCTTCAGTCATCTACATGCTTCAGCTGCAAGAAGTCAGACGCCTCATCTTGGACATGAAAATCTTTTGGTTGACTGGTGACCAGCTGCAGCTTAATATCCGTGCAAAGCACATTCTTCTGGTCAAACTACTGAGAGACTAGATTCTTAATTGTACAATATATTTTATTCCTCAACATTAATTGTGTGGTCTGTAGGACATAATTTATGCTTAAGTAGAACTATTTTATTCCATAGTTTTCTTGTGACATCAAATTATGATGTGATACTATTTTACATTAGCTTTCCACAATGAACCATGTAATTTTATAATTTTTTTCTTGCTCCTGTCGTAAAGCACGGGCACTCACATAGTATATACAACTAAAAAATACGAAGAAAAGACTCTACCCGGCAGAACGACGTGCGTCGCTAGCTTCGCTCTGCCTGTCAAAACAAAACGCGCTCGCTCCCCTCCCCCGCGCGACGATCACAGCACAATCGCTCGATCTCCAACCTGCCTGAATCATCGCGTGCGTATGATCCGTTATTTCTATATTTTTTTCCGGCTTCGTCCATCAATTGGTAATTTCCTTTACCCAACAGCCCCCGCTTCGTTGTCGCGCCCAGCATCGTGTCGATCACGGTGACACAATTATCTCTTCCTTTCCCTTCCCTTGCCCTAACAATGAGAAGGAGAAGGCACCATCGCTCATCGCCGCTGACGATCCGGCACGTCTTGACGCCCAAAGGCCACGTCGAGTCGTCGTGGCTCCTAGACGCGCTGTACGTCGTCAAGACGTCAACAGCAGCAAGGACGTCGTCTCCCATGTACTTCTTATCGTGCTCTTCTGGATTGATTCCGTCATTGCCGCCGCCCACTCTGGCTTCATGTTTGTTTGGTCCAATTTGTGACTCGTCGGACGTTGTCAGCAACAGCAGCGAGGTAGCAGGAGCAGGGGCGATGCGCTGAACTTGTCTGCCAAGTTCTGCAACGTCACGGATACGCCACCGGTACCCTGGATGGGCGAGAACACTCTGCACGCATACAAACAGATCAAATTGTCGCCAGGTCGGTCCTGAAGGTTAGTTCTGTCCCCTACACATTCATTTCATCTTGCTTTTCTATTTGCTTTCATTATAACCGGCAAGATGCACCTAGAGGATGCAGTGAGATAACAGTGGCCGGCCAGGATGCAGTGAGATAACAGTGTCCGGCCCTCGTCAGTGAGCAAAGGAAGGCATATATAGCCCTTGTTTAGTTCGCGAATTTTGGATTTTAGGGCTACTGTAGCACCTTCGTTTTTATTTGGTAAATAGTGTCCAAACATTGACTAATTAGGCTTAAAACGTTCGTCTCGTAATTTCCCACCAAACTGTGTAATTAGTTTTCCTTTTCGTCTACATTTAATACTCCATGCACGGGCCGCAAACATTCGATGTGACAGGTACTGTAGCAACTTTTTGGAATTTGCCCTTCAACTAAACACGGCGATACTTTCACTCTTTGGCAACAAAGTCAGTTGCTCAATCTACTTTATTAAATGGATCTCTGGCACTTATGAGTAGTTCTTAAAAATGTTGGAAAATAAGAGATTTGGACTAATTTAGTGGTTCAAACAAAAGCAAAAATGGGATAGAATGATCAGTGCAAAACCAAGTTTATTGTTAAGGGTTAGTAACAATGATTTGTTTTATTTTTTTTCTTAGGAGGAACAAGCAATGTTTGTGTAGCAAAGGCAATTTTTGTTTTCAGGTTTGTGTCGATATTTTTTTGGCCATGTAGATTTCTTTTTCAGTGAGCTTTTGTCAGAACAACAAATTTCTGCTCTCTGAACTCTGTGCCGGTGGTGCTGATTGCAGCTTTGAGTTTCATCCTTCATAAATTGTTTAGATTAGATCGGAGATAAGGAATAGGCTGGGTCGCGTTCACTAGGTTTTCAATCAGAGTGAAGACTGGTGGCCGAGTGAAGGCCATCGACTACTGAGGGAAGATGGGTCGGATCGGCGCTGGAGGCGTTGCTGCGGGACTCGCGTACGTCGCCATGGGGGCAAACACCCTGACTTTCAGTACTTTGTTGCGGTGCAAGTCTGTCACATATTCTCTTCCTAATTCTACAGATTGTTGCTTTGTTGCCAGAGCATTTGATGCGACTCTTAATTTCAAGTATAATAGTTACCACTATGGTAAGTTTGTTCATATTCATTGTGGCTCTAGGAAAAGATATGCCTCTTTGCCAAGTTTATAAAATATGCTATCTGCAGTAGCTGCAGTTCTTTGAACTTGAACTATGCTTGGAGGTCACTAGCAAAGCAGCATGTATTTTATCAAAGCCAGCAACACCAGGCATGTTATTATTGTGTGAACATTTTTCATAAACTTTAATTAGTTGTTCTGTTTAGGAAAATTGATTACTATGAAGTATTCCTCATAGAAGTCTGTCAGATTTATTTGAATGTACAGCTCCATGTAGAATTTTTTTCCATTCTGATCATTGCCAAATTCTTTGGTTGAAATACTGTCACCAAAGGAAATGCTAATGAACTTTTCTTTTTATTATATTAAAATTTGTCTGTTGATCAGTCTGAGCATAGCATTGGCAAGGCTGTCTCATAAGCCTGATGCTAATTCTAAACTTGCAGCTGCTGTCATGAATAGAAACTGAATGGATCGATCGGCTACGTGTGGCGGAGGAGATGGATGCTACTATTGTGAAACAAGTGGATTATGGCATTCAGTTTGAGTACTACAGCAGCCACAAAACTGTTCTCAAGTAAGCCTTCTTTTGCCAGACGCAATCAAACTATCAAAGTGGAGAATAATATGAAGTGTATGCATCTTTTTCTTTTTGGCAGACTTCACAATGCTCCAGCAGGAACACAAGATATTCAGAAAGCAATTTTCAAGGTTTGTGTCTGTTAATTATTGTTTTCTTTGTTTCGCAAAATGTGAAAAAAATGAGGAACCTTTGAACAACCTCTTAGCTTGGATTGTTCATCTGAAGATTAAAGACAAAATAAGGTGCTCAATTCTAGACCATCTCTTTGATGACCTCCCTAAATTCAAGTTGGTTTCCTTAACTAATTCGAAAACTTTGAGTACTGCCTATTATTTCGTCATATTTCATCTGAAAAACAAAATATTAAAACTAACATCTGGAGAATTTTTATTTATAAATTCTTCAAAAATATTTATTTTTAGAATGAGCAGATCCGAAAAGGTGGAATCATACTATCAGTTAACTAAGATGGGTCTTTTTTTTCCTTGGCTTGCCCTGAATTGTTGCAACTTTATTGGCATGGCTTACATTTGTAAACTCTACAGGATGAGTCATCGGTTGGCATTGATACACAGATGCCTGATGCTAAGCACAACCAGCTGCCAAAGCAACTGTGAAAATAATAATTGAATGTAGAACAAATTCTTGTGCTCAATATGATGATGTTGTAACTAAGATATTTTTTACATCCTGGTATGGCCATGTCCTGTATACATATGGAGCTTTTACTGGCAAAAGTAGGAAGAGATGACAAGCATTTCAGTTTCATGAGAATGTACATATGTGATTAGATTGGTTTAGTGGGGACTAGGTAAAATTCTCATCTTGAAAGAAGTGAAATTCATTAAGCAATCTTGATATATTTAGCAAGCACATGCTGATCGTCTCGAGTTTGAGTTATGACATTTAGAACACGAATTGTGCACTGAGATTGCCATGTATTGTGGTTGCCGTTATACTACATGAGTTGCAACAAGTTCAGATTTAAGTTATCGTGATATTATTTTGCTCCTGTTGCAACGTACGGGCATGGTCCTAGTCCAATTAATCATCAGCAACTACCACAGGAAATATATACAGCAAACAGATAGTGAGATAGATCCAGTGAAGTGATATGATTAAGCCTCACATAAAAAAACTATACAACGCTCATAAAGTAAATACTTTGTATAAAGTAAAATAGAAAAAAGTTTCTGTGGTAATCCATATGGCTGCAATGCCTAACAAGCAACAACAAAGCCATAATATTGCAGTTGAGAAGAATAAGAAACAAAAAGGCACTCTCTAATGTACCTCCACGTTCCAATCCATGAGGTATTTTGCAGGGACCAAACACATTTCTACACCAACACACCATTTTCATATCAGTAAGTTGTACATACCAGCAATGAAATGAAGCTAAAAGAGTCCCTCAAATCATCATATGACATTAAGTCATCCTGCTACTACACGCGAGAAAATAGACATCAAGGTAAGCTTCACAGGAATGAACCACAGAGTTTTTTTTTTTTTGGTCAGACAATTAAATATATGGTGCAACACCATTGCAGATTTTCATTAGACACAATTTGGTTACTCCAATTTTTTCATTAAAATAGCCCACTAAAAACATATAACATAGAAATGACAAGCTACTAAATCATAGTTGTTCTGTTATATCATCCATGAAAGTGCGATAACTTATTACTGTATATTTACAATTTTGAAATGGCCCTGAAAGGTGGACAATAGATCGGTTGACTCAACACTATTCAGAGCCATCAGAGGTCTCATCATCATCAGATGACACACCTCCAACTGCAGCCCGTAGCACTAGATTAAGTAATCCTGTGTTGTCCTCATGGTCTTCTGATGAATCTTCTTCAGCTGATCGTTGCCTATGGTCTGATACCAGTATGTGTTGGATCAACAGATCTGGTAAGTCAAAGCGCCAGAACTTGGCTCTTCTCTTGCGAGGTCTCAGCTGGAGCTGCCAAACAAGGGAGGTACTCGATAAATTGTAAATGTTTAAATTTCAAATATCAAACAAAAATGGATGATGCTGAACTGGAAAGACGAAATCATGGAGAAAGTAGTGATGTACAAATGTCTCCAACAGATCAATAAATATGGCATCCTGACCAACAGATTGCTACAGTTTCTCCACTATGCGGAGAATATAGGTTGGCCAAAGGTAGAGATGATAAGGGGACATAGATGGCCAGGAGATATTACCTCATCAACATTTACCACAGGTGCCCGCTCAATCGCAGAGGGAGTCCAAACTTTTACATCATTATCAATTCCACAGCTCGCAATTGTCATAGCATGAGGATGAGGCTCAATGCAATTCACAATGCACTCATCCCCCTCCATGGCTCGTAGAAACTTCCCATCTCTCTTTCTCCAAATAAACATCCGACCACAGTCTGACCCACTGGCAACGTATTCATCATTTGGCCCAATGAAAGTCACACGCTTCACGGTTTCACAATTGCGATGACCGACATATACCTGAGGCGCAGGTTGAGAAACATCATGTCCAGATGCTAACATTGTTGATTTGCACCCTTCATTTGCTCCAATCTTAACAGATTTTTTGGGGTCAGATCCCAGCCCTCCATTTTTAGGGAATAGATAAATATTCTCTTCATTGTAAGATACAAGCAACTCACTCAGGTGAGAGAACGCTAACCCTGTTATCCCAACACTCTTATCATCAACAAGATGTGGTGGACAATAGCAGTCAGATGTGCGACCAAAATCAGATGATCCATCCCACTTGCACTTGCGGATGTCATACACACGAGCATATGCATTGCTTCCTCCAACAGCAAAAAGATTTGGGTTCCTCGGATCTATTGCAATCGCATTTAGGTGGACACGAGTTGAGGATACTGATTTAATGAAGGAACTTCTGCAAAGAAATAGTTTTGAGGCCGTGTTTGTTCTGAGATCAAACTGCACAAGAAATAAATGGCTAATTAAACTTGGTTATAGTTCAGTTTACAAACACCTGAAATACTACACCTGTTTAATGGCTTACTTGTTGAACAAGGCCATCCTCACCACAGCTGTAGAAGATATAAGGGCTACCGGGCTCTATAGCCAAATTGTGAGCCCTTCCCCCATGTTCACCAAGCAATGTTGTGGAGACGTCTCCACCATCCTGTATCTTGGCAAGCCTCACCTGGTAGAGGCACAAGAGCATCACAGCTGATGAACTGAGACGGTGAATACCATCAAATAAAGTCAAACAAGAAAGCAAGGAGCTAAGAACCAACCTCGCCATCAGCAGCACAAGTGACAATTGTCTGATCGTCTGAGCAGGGCATGAACCGTGCCTGGAACACATTGCCGCCATGTCCTGAATGAAACTCTAATTTGACGGTGCCGGTGTCCCAGTCCCACAGCATCACCCTCTGGTCATCAGACCCCGATATGAGGATGTCACCGACCTCATTGAAGCTCACTGTGTTGACGCAGCCCGTGTGCCTGTCAAGCTTCCGATGAATCTGAAGCCGCATCACAAGGTCCTGTAAAGAGGTAATTCCATCAGCAACCCACAACAAATGCATCCAGTATTCACTAATTCTGATTAATTTGCTAAGTGATTCAGACTGCCCTGTTGAACACTCTAATAGGGCAAAAAACCAATCCAGTACGTCAATCAAACACCTACGCAACACGGAAATCACATCAACCGCCACCACGCAACGCTACACCCCAGCTAAATGGAACTCAGCACGCCCCCAATTAGCGCCACGCGGCCCGGGTCCGAGACCACGCCACGCCATTGAACACACCGGCCGTCCAGCCCGATCGCTGCGCGCGCCGATCCGCCCCCGCGACACGGATCGAGATGCGGGAGCGACGGGGGATTGAAAGGGCACAGTGCGGAGAAGGAACGGAAGTACAGAAGGCAGGGGGAACTGACCTCGGAACCGGCCGCGCGGCGGGCGAAGCGTCGTGGCAGGAGGTCCCCGACCTCGCGGAGGCAGAGGTCCGCGGCGCCGTGGCGCGCCGCGATGGCGGCCCCTGGGCCCGGGTGCCTCCACGGGCGGCGCATGGTGACGAGACGAAGTGTTGGGCTGGGCGGTGAAGGCGAGCAGCACGAGTCCTCGAGAAGCGAAAGGGACCGAGGAATTTCTTCTTATCAAAGCAGGGAGCTTTGGTCAGCTCTCAGCCCATCCACGTCATTCGAATTGTGTCAGCCGTTGGATTTATAGATCAACGGTCCTGCTTCGTCGCACCGGTTCCTACGTTGTCTGCCTGTAAATATCTGCTCCCACCGCGTCCACAGCCTCTCGAAGCCTCCCGTCGTACCGTCTCCCTCGAACTCTCCGCGACGGTCGGCGCCCCCTCTTCCAGCCCTTCGTCTCTCTCTCCCGACGCGGCGACGCCCTCCTCCTCCTCCTCCCCTCGCCTCGCCGCATGCCGGGCGGGTCAACGATGCTGGCTCACCGCGCGAGCCCCTGCCGGAACTGCAGCGCGATGCCGCGGCGGTGGCCGGTCCTCCGCACGGCGGCGGCCACACTTCTCCTCCTCCTCCTCCTCCAGCACCGCCACCACCACGCCGCTTCCTCCTCACGACGCAAGGCAGCGTGTCGCGCGGCCTAGGGTTTGGCCCCTCCGTCGCCGGTCGTCCCCACGGCCGCGCGGGCAGCCAGCTGAGGCCCTGACGCGATGGCCACCTCTGGCGGCGGACGGACCTCCGTGCTGCCAGTCGATGACGACGGGGAGGTCACGTCAGCGACCTTGGCGGTGGATCTGAAGCGGCAGCTCACGGGGCCCCTCCCGGCGGCGGATCTGAGGCTGGAGCACGGCGACCTCAGCCGCAAGCAGCGGAGGCGGTGGATCTGCATGCCAGCAAAGCGGATCCAGCCATGAGGCCTCCCCGTCTCTACATCGATCCGCTTGCATGGCCTCTGCCGTCGTCGCGCTGGGCGGTGCCACACCGAGGAGGGCCCTGCGATTGTAGGTTGTCCTTGTTGGAGATCATTGCCAACTGGGTCCACTCATCATGTGCAAAAAACAGCCCATGCAGGGTTAGCACAATCTCTCTTTGAATGCCTTATTCCTTTGGTGCTTGGTGTCAAGCAGATAAAAAAATTGTTTTATTTCATTATCCTTTATTTATACTCTTGCAATTGTAGGTTGTCCTTGTCGGAGATCATTGCAATCTGGGTCCAGTCATCATGTGCAAAAGAAAAAAACCGTGCAGGGTTAGCACAGTCTCTCTTTGAACGCCTTGTTATCCTTGGAGTGAAGCTATTCAGGCTACAGGTAATATACCTGCATCTGATGTATTATGCCTCAACAATGCTACCTCGGTGTTATTATTATTTCCCTGCTTCATCCCGTAACTTTGGCACCACATGCATAAAGGCTATGATTTTTCTTGCTTTATTGTTTTAGTTCTAGCAGTTACTTACATTTTTCCGTAGAGATAATTATTCTTGCTTCTATAATTAAGTGGAACAGTGTTCTTGTTTCTATAATTTATAAGATATTATTTCTTTGCCCAATATGAACTCCCATATGAAATGTACATCAGCAGAGATAGTTGATCTCATCCTTTTGGTAATATAATGATTTATTGTTCTTTGCTGAAAATGCCACATGACCTTTACAGTACAAAGAATTAAACTATTGCCGAGACCGAACATAGAAGATATTTTTTTGTTTGGCCAATATGAGGTGCCATCTAAAATCTACACATTAAGCACATATCTCATCTCCTTTCGATGATAAATTGATTTATTAAACTTATGGATACCGCCACCTAAAATACACGCAATAGGCACCAACATCTAAAATTGTGGTAGCTCCTGATAGGCGCCATCTCCCATTCATGATGCAGAGAAAGTACAATTTCTCAAAAGTTACTTCAATTTTTTAGGCGATAATTTTTACAGGTACAAATACTTTCAGCATGATGATACTGTTAGTTCGCAGGTTCCTTTCAATTTCCCTCATGTTTAGATTAATCCTCAATCTCTGCAAACAATCACCCTGCATCCAAACATTCCTGCTGCATACTTTTAGTGCATAGATTGCATCCTTATTTTTTTTCAGTATCTGATTCTAAAGGTTTACACACTATGCAATTTGTTGTCTTGCTTTGGAACACGTGCATGGTTTACTTTTGTGCTTATTTTCTTACCATCGGGCTGCTGCAACGGAGTACACGAATTTGGTTTTACATGGTAAGCACTGATTGCATTTGTTATTGTTTTGCAGGCTGCCATCTGCATACATGGAGGACTGCCATCTACATGTACATATGTTTTTGTGACATGGTGCAGCCTGCCAGGACCATAAGCCTCATGGACCATAGATTTGATGACAAGGTACCACCAGCTGTACCTTAAGACGTTTTGGTTCTGCATATACATCATCCCCCGTTGATGATATATATTCAGTTTATACGTTTCAAAGCGACATAAATATTTAAGGGTTTTTTTAGCTGCAATAAACAATCTTATCGATCTATCCATGTTTTAGCTAATCTCGTCGACATAGTTTGATGCACTACAGTTATTACTTTTGCACATCCGCGTATGACTGCTTGCCACCTGCTACCTGCTTGAGAAAATGACTGAACCGATGCAGCTCAGTTCAGCTTATAATTGCAAAGCCTTTCACTTGATGTTCTAACACAAAGAAAATGAATTAATACAGATATAAAGACGTCTCCTTAGTCATTGTATAGCGAGTTTATTCAGTCTGCTACTTAACCTTTGTTTTCATTGTGTTGGTTTGATTTGATTATGAACTAACTCTTCCAACAAGCAATTGTAGAAAGTAGCATTATAAGCAGTTTTAGAATAAGCTTTTCCATATTGCTGTTAAAATCTTTCACATTTTTTGCCAATTGATAGGTGATGCAGCACTAACATTTACTATCTTTGCCAAATATACAGAGTGATCTCTCAAATATTTAGGATGGGCTGAACAAACACGGGCATAGATAAATGTTTGGCTCTCTCAAGGTATCTCAGGTATGGTCTTTCCTTGCATAGGATTATCCAAGGCTCTCATATTAGTTATCCTCTTGCTTTCTATCAATAGCTCAAAAGATAGCTAACCCCAACACCGATCTGCCTTCCTTGTTGCTTTGACTAATTAGTCTTTTGCCTCGATCCTTTTTGATATTGGGCTTCGTTGTTGATTTTCTCTCCATGATCCTTTGGATCCATCGGAGGAGATACCATTGTTATTGGACTGCAGCTGTTGAAGGGCCTACTCAGGTGCCATCGTTCTTTTCTGTCCATTTGACCCTTAATGTTTGAGAGCAGTGTTGTATGAATATAATGTCATGCCACCTAATATGAAGTCATATCCACCTAAAGTTATCACGCGCGCATGGGCGCGCACAAATTACTCACTTTAGCATCCCATCTGTAGAGTTCAATTTCATTTGATTTTGATTTGGCTTTAGCGGGATCTGTTGGCGGGTAGTTATGTTTGGTTTCTACTCTACCACTCCGTGTGGTTTGTCACATTGCTTAGGCAAAAAATAGACAACTATCTATTCACTTTAGCAGCCTATCCGTCCGGTTTGATTTCTCTAATCATCTGTTATAGTTTCTTTGCAGAAGGTCATGATTGGGTACCACAACAAACGAAAGTTTTTTGTTCAGTTAGTGCATCTAAAGGGAGTTGCATTGTACTCCAGTCCATCAGGTATTCATGACCTTTGTCTCAAACATTTTTCTCCTTCATTCATTATCACAAACTTTTGGTATGTGTTACTATAATTTTCTCAAGCAACTGATTGGTTAAAAAGGAAAACATTGGTGTTTGATAGCGTTTGATTTTCTCTCTCATGATCCTTTGGATCCATCGGAGGAGATGCTATTGTTATTGGACTGCAACCAAGCTGAAGGGCCTACTCAAAGCCATCTTTCTTTTCTGTCCATTTGACCCTTAATGTTTGAGAGCAGTGTTGTATGAATATAATGTGATGCCACCTAATATGAAGTCATATCCACCTAAAGTTATCACGCCACATGGGCGCTATGCAATTAAATTCTCTCTTTACCATCCCATCTGTTCAATTTCATTTGATTTGATTTGATTTTGATTTGGCTTTAGCGGGATCTGTTGGCAGGTTGTCATGTTTGGTTTCTACTCTAGCACTCTATGTGTTAGTCACATTGCTTAGGCAAAAAATAGAAAACTATCTATTCACTTTAGCATCCTATCTGTCCACTTTGGTATCTCTAATCATCTGTTACAGTTTCTTTGCAGAAACTCATGATTGGGTACCACAACAAATGAAAGTTTTTTTTCAGTTAGTGCATATAAAGGGAGTTGCATTGTGCTCCAGTCCATTAGGTATTCATGACCTTTGTCTCAACCATTTTTCTCCATTCATTATCATGAAATTTTTGTATGTGTTAATATAGATTTCTCAAGCAACTGATTGGTTCAAAAGGAAAAACATTGGTGTTTGATAGCAATTGAGTAATCAAAATGAAGAAGAGAGTGACAATTTTAAATGTGGAATAAAGAATAGGTGACACCTGATTTCCATAAACCTAATTGTACTTGAAAGTTTCTCAGATAGCAGCTACTATGTCTTTTGGTTCCAAGTAAACAAAGCCTGATTGGTGGTCCTCCGTCTGCAGCTGCGCATGTGTTGTGTGAGAAGCAAGACAAGATCAAGGAAGCTTATAACAAGTTGCAGGGGGGATGGCTGCACAATAGGGACAAAGTCCCTTCTATTCGATTTGTTAAGGTTAGGTGTAAGGGCCTGATTGATGGCCGCTCCTCCACTCCTCTAGGCTCAAGAATAGTTAGGTTTCCCTAGATGAAAAGGGTAGTGATGAACTATGCACATTGTTACTGCTGAGACTTCGACGTTCTGTGACTTTGGGAGTTCTACCTTTTAGTGATGTTTCCATATTGTTATCTACCTATCTAAATGCCTTCACTCAGGGATTTGAATTTCGTCCGTATTTTGTTCCATATTTTGCTAAGTTCTTCTACCATGTTTTCCTTTTGTAAATGCAACGTTTAGTAGAAGAGTAGAATACTTCGATGTTGTAGATCATGTGCAGG